ACCTGGTTTTTCTTTTCCACTGTTTTCTCCCTTCTAACAAACTGTCTGTATTTTGGCAGTAACTGGATAACATTATGATCAAATCTACCAATGGGTGCTCTACATATTGCCCTACATGCATCCTCGATGTTATCGTAACACATATCCTGTGTGCATGAGAAATGGGTTGGCCAATTAATTGCTTCAGGTTTGGAAGAGTCTCTGTTAATGAAAGAGTATTAAAGTCCCCCAGATGAAGACTGGTTGATCTGCCGCCTATGTCAAGATCCTAGAAAAGCACTCTGCAATGTGCATTTTCATTTAGCCACATTTCCGTAAAACAAATGAGATTACTGCACCTAAATTCCTCCTCTCATTTAACGGGGAGTGCAAATTCATCTTCATCTTATTACTAAGAATATCCCATATTTTAATATTTTAATATATATATATATATATATAAAATTGAATAGATCTAAATGGTGCCTGAAAACAGAAAACGCACAGAACACTTACTACCATCGGTTTTATGTCACTTTAAATAAAGGTTCTTGCCATGTCACTAAACTATATTAATGGGACCGGACACTGTTATCGCTCTTTGTCATATTCATAGACTCAAAGTGAAGTGATTTGTGGGATGGCTCACACTCTGTTAAGTATGTGCATAAATGTGCGTCTGTCCACTTCAAGGCAAGTGTAGCAAGTCAAGCATGTACTGTGAATACAGCTGCCCCACCTGTAATTTATTTCACCTGCTTTCCCTCTCTTCCTCCAACCCACGCTTTGTACAGTATGTCTCTCCAGCAGATAATAAACCGTGGCAGATGTTTATTTGAGTCTTGTTTGAGCCTTGTTTTGCCCCATTATCTCTGCATAAGCTAAATGCTAAATTATATTTGCCATTTTGTTTATGTTGACATCGGACATCAATCAAGCCCCCAGCACGCGTCTCTCCCTCTCTTTCAAGCCTCTCTTTAGCGCATGGGTTAGAGCAAGCAGATGACATAAAAACACAATTCATTATTCTTAGCAGTGTAACAGGCACAAGAGAGATATGACTACCGAGGATGGAGAGGGGGAGGTGGGGGAGACAGAGGATGTAATGATGAAGAATACAAAATGTAATATGGACCAAGTAGCCGCCTCGATTTAATTTATCTAGCCATAGAGCTACAATGATTTTGCATGTTGTGACAGAGCAAGAAAGGCAGAGAGAGAGAAAAGAGTGGAGACAGATTAGGCAAAATTTATTAAAAAGCAAACATAGGCTGTAATTTTAAAAGGGAACACAGTGTGCTTTAATTGCTGAATTGAATACAAGACATTTAAAAAAGAAGATGAGAAGTAAAGAACATGACAAAGAGAGTTGAAAAACGATTACTCTGCAGAAATGTGAGGCTGAGACCTGGGAGAACTGCTAAGGGAATTCCCCTTATAGAGAACTTATTCATGACTGCTGACCTGACAAAGCTCCTCACTGCGAACACACACACACACACACATAGACTTTGATTTTATGTAAAACCAATTTTAGTTACTATAGAATATATAGAAAAATCTAAATTGTGAAATTTCTGTCAACACGAAAAACACACAAAAGGGTAAAGTGACTTGCAATTTTGACTTTGATGTGTAATTGCAATTTTATCTCACATTGTGACTAAATACACAACATAATCAAACGTTAGGGGTTTGTAGGGGTTTTTTTATGTTTTTGAATGAAGTCTCTTATGATCTTTCTCTTATGATATGGTCTCTTTGAAAGAAGTCTAATGAATTTTCAACAGCCATTACTCCAGTCTTCAGTGTTACATAATCCTTCAGAAATCATTCTAATATGCTGACTTGGTGGTCAAGTCTTCTAATAATTCTTATTCTTATTATTATCAATGCTGAAGACATTTGTGCTGCTTAATATTTTTATGGAAAAATGATGGGAATATTTTTTTTAGCATTCTTTGATGAATAGAAAGTTCAAAAGAGCATAATTTATTTGAAATATAATTTTTTTGTAACATTATAAATGTATTTACTGTGAAAATTGACCAATTAAATTCAACCCTGCTAAATTAAAGCATTAATGTCTTTAAGAAAAACTCTTACTGACCCCAAACCTTTCAATGGTAGTGTATATCTGGTAACACTTTACTTGAAGGGGTGTGCACAATACGTTTAGTAAGAAACAGGGTTTCATAGTATACTCTATAACATGTTTTGTATCCTTATCCAATAATCACGTGATTGAAAATTATTTGATTAAAAAACTGCTTGTATAGCTTTTTTGTCTTTGTTTTAGGAATAACTGATTGACCAGCACAATCAGCCAATCAGAAATCTAGAAGTCTGCTAATGAAATAAGTTTGAAGCCAGACTACCTGTGTACGCAACTGTTATACGACCATTTTTGCAATTCTGTTTGGCATCGCTAGTGGCATAGAATCACTTACAACTGCTACTGTATCAAACTTTTCTTATCTTGAAGCATGTAACATCTTCATACGAGTTTTCATAGAGGTGTACATCAGTAACAAAGAATTTCCTCGCTTGGGTTTGAGGTGTGGCATTGTTGTGCTACATGTGACAGCTTGCAGAACAGCTGTGTGAGAGAGGAGTTTGTAACATCTACTCCGACAGGGCCTGATGAGCAGTTTTAGAGGAATCAAGCACTAACAGGCTGCCATGTCTGTCTCTGCATCTGACACACTCATTAGTATGTCTCTTGACAGTGTGTTCACCCAGACTTTAATCTCTGACGCAGAACGTCTCTAGGTTACATATGTAACCATGGTTCCCCGAGGGAATGAGACGCTGCGTCGAGATCGCTTTGGGAACGCCCCTGCGTGACCGTGTTCTGAAGCACGTGTCAAATCAGCCCAATGGAGTAGCGAGACGTCATGGGCGGGGTGACGTAAGCACCAGAAAGTATCCGACCCCCGTTCTTTTTGCGGAGGGGTGCGGGTTGCGACGCTTTGTTTTTGTGACTGGCGGTATGAGGAGCTTCACGGCTGGGGCTGCTCCCACTCAGCAGCCCCATGGGCCTGGGAGCGACGAGGGAGGAACCGTTGAAACGCCGCCGCTTGCTTT